GCGGGGGCAGGAACACGCGGTCCTCTTCCAAGGTGCCCAGCACAGGCCCCCGAGCTGCCATATCTTCAACCTCATCAAGAATGCAATTAGACAGGTGCCCAGCTGGTCCGAGCTGCTGTGACTCAACAAGTAAGTACACTTTCCTGTCGCAGTACGGAAATCAATCTTAAGGCCCGAACTTCCTGCTTGGTGCCATGAAGGTAGGCCTGAACCCAAGTTGGTATCAGACTGTTGCCCGAGTTTGGGGCCAAATGCAAGGTGTGGTTTTCGCGGATCTTGCAACGGGAGATGCTGGGATGAAGCCTGTGTTGCTTCCGTATATCTGAGATTGTCCCTCAGCGTGCTTTTCTCATGTGCTTCGCATAGACGAGAACGATGCATCGAGAACCTGTTGCTTTGCACACCTTACTCGGACTCGAGATTAAGATCCTTGTGGCGCACAAGCACCCCAAATATTAATTTGCAAGCGTAACTTTGTCAAAGCCCTGCTGTACTCTCCCAAATTTACCTGGCCCTGCTGTACTATGCAAGACTCCAGGAGTCACTCCCGACCCCAGCGATGCCAGCTCTTCCAGAAAGGGCAGCTGTACCCTGATGAAACCCCGCTTCCATGATACTAACAGCATCCAAAAACAACCGGCCCCTGAACAGCTGCCAAGGAACATGATCAATCCCATGCAGAGGATAGTCTGACGCTGCACACACCTTCAGCGGCCATCCTTAGATCGTCTGCGTGCATCCGTCAATTCGGACAGCAGGAACTCTTCTGACCCAGATCTTAGTGAGTTTGCGAGGAATACACGTTTAAGCTGCAGCTGTGCAACTCTCATGGCCTTCTGGAAGTCGTCTGGACGAAACTAGAGTCACATCCTGTCAGCATGTATGTGCATTCAGTACGTGGACTTCAGACATGGTTCTGCTGGAGGTGCGCGCCCCCACTTCAAGCTGCATAACGTTCCTCTAACAACACTGTACTCCCAAAGCTGTGGCAAATGAGAACAGTGCAGTTTTGCAGTCCTGCAGCGCGACATCGCTGCTTGCGAACCTGAGTTGTTATACTTGGTACATGGTGCCTTCCTTCAAAGCGTAAGCTTACCGCTTCTAGCACTTCGTCAAGAAACATCAAGTGACCGTACCTGCTCTCAGACAAGTAGGAACCACTCCACTGCTCGGCCAGTCTATAGCAACATGTTGTAGACTGTTGTAATTAATCAGAACGGTCAGATGACAGCATAGTCAACATGGCCAGAACGGACGAAGCCAAAATGGCGAACGGTCTCAAAAAAGAGAAGTTGCTGTGGTATCCAATGAAGGCGCACCAAACGTCCCTACTCCAACTGCACAACTACCTAGAAAAATCGTTATCCCAGCGGACAGAACTCAGACGCGGGCGTGGTCTGCGGGAAACCTGCATGCGCAATCCGCAGTGTGTCTAACTCTTCTTCTTTCACAAAGCTCCAGCACAAAAGAGCAACGGCCCATGTCCCCAAAACACTGCAGCAGAACGCGCGCATCGGTTGTTTAGGGGTCATCTGCAGATACGAAGGAGGAATCTGCTTCGCACATGTACCACAAATCAACATGAATTGAAAGAGCAACTTGCCTGGCGGGAACCAGGACCTTATGCTCAAGGCCAAATCAAGTGGAGAGGTGGCTCTCTGTCTCGCTCTCCGCACTTGAGTCAGAGCAATGCGGATGAAATTCTGGAATTCTGCGTACGGTCCAGGCTTGCAGAAAGAACGGCCACCCTCTACTGCCTCCAATGCAATCACTTCCCCTGATACTGAAACAAAATATGCCTCTCTCGTCTCCCTCTAACTAGGACTGGTCCCTGGCCCAAGGCCCTTCCATTTCTGTTAAACCAATCACGTTCTCGTTACGAGGTTGTTTCTATGATTCGTGGTAAAGAACGATACCAACAAAAAATGCTAACTTCAGGAAGCCCGGAACTGCAGCTAGAGTGCCTGCAAACTCTCGTATTTGCATTCCTGGGTACAAGACAAGTAGTAATAGAACATCCAGGAAACCCCTAACCATAAATAAACATTCATGAACATCCTAGTCAATAGTCAGGTTTTGAAGTACTCTGGCCCCTGTAACAGCAGTTTCAGGGTTTGATCCCAGCAGAGTTGTCCAATGACGAAGCGGAAAAATGAGACCCTGATAGCATGACAAACTCGACAACATGTCACAAATCCACAGGTAAACGGGAAAGAGGTGGGCCTTCTACAACTGCTTCCCTGATATTGAAACGCATCCGTTCCTTCCTCCTGCCAACTTATGATGATGCATCATTACTGGTGTGTTGATTACAGGTTTTCTGTGGGCCTCTTCGATTCATCTCGACGCAATGACTGTACAATTAAGAAACCAAGCCTAATTCCATTCAGCTGTTTGACTTATCTCCATGATTTGTAGGCGAAAGCAAGATAACAACAAGAAAAGAATTGATTGTATTGATTGTATTAACATTCCTTGGCAAAAGCCTTGAACAACTCCAGTGACAAACCGTAAAAACACACCCTGATGGCAGTACAAACTTGACAACATATCAAAATCAATCCATGGGTTCACAGATGTGGAGGAGGTGGGCCTTGAGGTTCAGCTGGGCGGGAGGGCGGTTCATGTTCTGAAAGTCTGCCGCTACAACCTGATCCTTCAAGCCGCTCCCCCCGCGCAAGCCTCTAAGTGATTCAAATATGAGACCGGACGGCCCAAAAAGCTCTCCCCAGCCCAATGACCAACTGTTGGTCAACACAAAATCCCACCAGCAGCTCCACAACTGTAATTGTTCCCCCTGAAAATAAAACGCACCCATTTCCCCCCCCTGCCCACCAATGAATGGAGTGAGGTATCATTCCGCGTGCGTCTATTGAAGGACTTGTGTGGATGCCGATTCAATGTCCATGGAAGAACTAAATGTCTAATTAAGAAATCAATTAGATCCCTAATTCCAGATAGACTTCTTAAATTATGTTGTACCACTTGCATCCCAAGCATGATAACAAGAGGCCAAGGATGGTTTACGTTGACATTCCTGGGAACGTGGCCTTGAAGAAATCTCCTGCGACGAAGCGTAAAAAATAAACTTCAATGGCACGACAAACTTGACAACGCGTCGCAACAAGTGCAACAAAAGCCAGGGGGTCCACAGGTCTACACCCAGGAAACGTCCTTTGGTAAGCAAGAAGTCTCGCAAGCTCCAAGAAGCTTCCGTGATAAGCCAAGCTGCATCCGAAGACCCCGCAGACACAAAATGGCACGAAGCTCAGCTGGGCATTGGTGTCACGCCGTGTGTGTTTTTCAATGAGCAGAACTGAGCTCCGTACGAGCTGTAGCACTGTAGCTTAGTACCGGCTTGCATGAGACTGCTGAAGTGGCAGCCTAAGGAAAAGCCTTTAGCATGTTGCAGTAAATTGTAGGGCATCCATCTTTTCTGCCACACATGCCGCCCGGATATCATTTTTGGCTTGATCTATGGTGTTGCATCCTCGGATTGCCGCGGACCCTTGTTTAATCGATTGCGTGTCCTGTAGTGGATATCCTGAGCCAAGATAGCGAAAGCACCTCATTCAAGACTCATGGAAAGGCACTGGAAAAAAGCCCCTTTCTGCCTGTAAGTCCGTATCTAACTGCATGAACACCTAACACTCTTCGGCCACGATGAACGTAAGGAAATGCACAACCTGTAGCTTCTGTCAGCATCGAGCATGGGAGGGGAAGCGCATTTATTTTTCCAATGCGGTCGGCTCTCGCCCGTGACGCTTCCGAGTGCCAGATTAGTTGAGAAGCAACGTCTGCATCAATCACGCGTGGAATCCTGAAAGTCAATCCAAATCGGACCAAAGCAAACGGCCCAATTGTTGCAGGCTTCTCGGGATGCTCAAGCCAGAGTCGGCTGGAGGATGATATTTACATCAGCCTGGCGAGCAGATAATCCTCCAAAGTAAAATTTCGAAAGGCCCGAGCCACAGGTCTTGCATCATGTCATTGTGTGTGTGCGCCCGCAGCATTCTTCACATCTATCGGATACCTCGCACATCCTCAATTAGCCTGCACGAAGCTGTCAAAGGTTGTCAGCCAGAATTATAAGAGCAACCATATCTTTGATCATGCGCAGGAAAATGATATTTGAAGCTGTTCCTTTTACGCATGGAAGCCCATAGTGGGCACGGCGGGAAGAGATAAATCAAGCATAGACTATGCATTTGCAAAAGGCTATGTGCGCACCTATCATGCAGAGTATATACGTCCAAGCAAAAACTGACGTAGCGATGCCCAAGAGTGCATTGACAACAAGGATGCTGGTTTCCCAAAGGGGGCAGATGCATTGATTCGTCCTTTGACAGGCACCGTCTTGCAATAAAGCATGCACGCTGGAGGCTGGAGGGCAGGTGGTGATTGGCTGGTACGCCGCCAACGGGAAACCATTAGTTCACCCATGCCTCAAAACTTGCTCTCACGTTCTGTCTAATCATCGCCCTCTCGACAGAGCCTCTCCGCTTGCCGCGCACACAACCACTTCAGCGGCAGGCGCCGGCCATGTGCCAAGCTCTTGGCAGATAAAAGACTTGGGTATTAGGGCCGGGTGCACGTGAGGGCAGATTATGTCGGGCATAATTGTCCTGCTCTGGCCTCCAGAAGGGAGGAGTTCGTGCACCGGGTGTCACCAGGTGGTGGTATCTCGCTGCAGCAAATTTTGCAGATTCTCAGCCGCCAAAATTTCGTTCGCCAGCCTGAGCACTCAACAGTGGCCAAGCGCTCTCAACTTTGGTGCTGCTGCGCTATCTTCTCGTTTGGATCATACCCCTGCACGTTTGGGGTTACGGGCTGAGTTGGTGGCAACCAGATTGGAAATGCCGCTACCCTTTTCGAGCTATGGAGTTGTATCTTCTACAGCATTGAGTTGTCAAGAAGGATTGAACCTGAGTCAGGACATGTTGTGTCGGCGATGTGACTTCATGCGCACAGGGTCGCACGCCAAGATCCAGCTGAGCAACTGCATCCGCTGCGCATCTGCAACTCGCCGCATGTGCAACAAGGCCAGCCGTCCTGTTGAGGCCACAGGACCAGAAAGCAGCAAACGCTGTGCTGGCGTCCAAAACAAGAGCTGTGATAGCAGATAGCAAGTTATGACGTTGCTCCTGACCTGATGATTACAATGTGTTCATGCAGAGCGGTTATGAAGTTAAAAACCTGGCCAACCAGAGTCTAAGCTAAACGACTAGAGTGCCTAGAGGTCGTGTGTAATCCATGAAGCTTCGCTCCGAGATGCAGTTCAAGAAGAGGCATCTTCACTTACAATGCTCAACACAGCAAGATCCGTAGCTCGCCACACATTGTTGAGACTAGATTGTCAAACTCTGCTGGTGTAGAGTCTACTCTGTCCTCCTCGGATGACCTTCTCTTGGTTGGCGCCAATCGTCTGGAGTCGACCTACGCCAGGAAGCCTCAGCTGCAAGCTCAAAGTACTGAACGCCGAGACATACGGGCATTCCGGGGAGCTGCTAGATCTTGTTAGATTCTCGGCATTTCACTCCCACGGCTTCAGGCATCTTCAAAAGCTCGGCGATGTTACCTGCACAAGGTATCCAAGCTGTGTTCCAATCTCACAGCATCTGGACTCAACCCACAACCTTACGTGGACCTTCCTGCATCCAGTAAGCAATCATTGCTGATGTAACCAAACTCGCGATGCAAGACACCAGCGAGACCAACCCACAGAATCAACGCAGCCAAGGGAACGTGCGGCTTACAAAGCGCTGTCTTGCCGAGCAATACCGCAGCAGCGCTTCAATGCAGTTGTTGAACCTGTCATCGGCATGTGAAAGTACTGCTGGGCGAGTAAATTTCAAATGGGTATCATGCCTTGGGCTTCTGAATCTGAAGTCTGAATTGCATGTTGTGGTTCTCAAATGTATCAGCTTGCAGACCATCCTCGTCAAAGATCTGGGAGGATAGTTTTAACCCCGTCTTCCGAGCGTATCTAGTTCAACCTGCTCTCCCTCTCTCTCTCACACACAAGACTGGACTTGCTTCCAGGTGTAAAGCATAGGCGAATGATTCTTCCTTGCAGTCTGAAACATGCTTCCCAAACTCAGATACCACTGAAGTTCATTCAGGAATGATTCGGAATGATGAACAGGGGTTTTGCTATGGGGGACTCCTGCAGTGCTGCACGGCATGCGATGATTGTTGCCTACAATCAAAACAGCAGAAACTTCAACAATTATTTGCTATGTTCTGGCAGGCCACGCATCCTCAAGTGCTGCAATTGCTTCCACAGGCAGGTAGCGCCAGACTTGAAGGCAGTAGGCACGCACTGACATGCCACCCTCTATGGCATCTAAGAACCTCGGGTGCCGGCCCAGTCAGTCAGAGCAATCTATCGAGTGCAACTGCAGATGACATCAACACGATAGTCACAGGTGGCAGTCTTGAGAGTCTCGAGTCTTAGTCTTAGTCAAGAGGTCCGCGCTCTAACGAAAGGTCCCTCACGATCTCTTGCGGGACTAAGCCGGGCGCTGACGATGCGATGCTGCCATGCATTGCCTGCCTGCAATTAGGACGCCGACAGCTAACATATGATCAAATCAGGAACGAACGTCTGCGAGTCTGAGATTTATAGCACCGAACCAGGTATAACTTTTGACGTGTAAGCTTGCTTCCTGAACAATGCAAAACGAACAGTCCAACCTTGACTCTGCCAATGCTCTGAGAGGCCCGAAATCCCATCCAGCTTTCCTTGGGTGGCACGTGTCATAGCCCAATGCCTGCATCTGCAAAGCTATCTTCATCAAGCGTGAACGCAGGTAGAAGTGATACCAGGACAGCGAGGAATGAGCAAAATGCATAGCACGCCAACCTCCAACATGCTCGTCCAGAATCCTAGGATGCAATTCTGGAACCTGAGCAACTTTAGATTTTACAGGCATGCAAGCTAATGTTGAATCCCGATTTTTTTTTGTTGGGTGGGGGGGGAGTCCCAATAAAATAAAGTTCGTTGAAAATTCTTCTGGACCCCTATTCGATTTGGGGGGTCCCAAGAAAGTAATGTGTTTTGTCGCCTACTTATTTTTCTGAACTTTAAGGTAACAAAGTCAATCCAGAATCGCTCTAATCCCTTCCCTTACTAATTTGAATAGGAGCCGAAGGATCGAAAGGATCCCTGGTCCCTTTATTAGTTTAATCAGAACCATAGGACCCCCAGACCCCCAATTCATTTCGAGGACTTCTTATTATGGAGGCCCCCCTTTTTGTTTGGTGGGGCGCGGCCGCCCCATACTTATCAGGCTCCAACATTAGCTGTGTTGTCAGAGCCCAAGCGCGCAGGCCGAGGATAGCATGCAGGGCAGGCAGTAGAGGCGAGCTTCCTGGCCATCTCAAGGCTTCAGCGGCTTGGCTACTAAGCCCCAAGGCAGCTTATCTCAAACCCGCACGCTCACGTCAACGGTGGGCCTTCAGTGTAGATCCACGCCGCTAAATCCTCTTCGCCAATGTCCGGGTAAGTGAATTTCCTTGGGCCAGTCTACAAACTGCAGATGACTTAGTGTTCTCGCATCTTGGGCTTGTGCATAGATTTCAAGAGTTCCAGTGCGGTAGCAGCTATCTTTTTATGCGTTGGTGCATTCGAAGCTGTTCTTCCATGGCTGTCCAGACTTCGAAGGTGGTTTTTGGTCTTAGTCTTGGAGCATGTCGTTGGCCAGCCGTCAGGTTTGTGCCCTGTGCCAGGCGAAGTCCAAGAAATTGAGTACAGCACAGCCCCGCCTCAACTACACCCACTTTGTGATTGGTGTTTGCAGTTTTGAGAATCTGGAGTCTGGAGCTTAGAGAAAGCAACGGTCTTGTCATAAGTCTGGTAAGTTTGCCTTCCGATAGTGTTGAATCTGTCGGGTTCAATTGAGGTTTTAATAACCGGTATTTGCGGCTACTTTAGGAAGCCGGTCTCTACCCATCCTGCACACCCTGAAACAAACATTTGGAGCTGTCCACAGAATGCAGATAGCCTTCAAAGGCCAGGAGCTCCTCGAAAACTGCAGATACTGGGAAGGGGACAGCAATATGAAGTCTTGCCTCTCTTTGAAAATGTTGGCAGGGAGCGGTTGGGGGCAGCGGCCGATCTGTTTGCAGCACAGTGATGAAAGCAAGAGGGTTCATGTAAGATCACGCACCGTCTGCCTGAAAGTCATGCCACGCTTTGAAAACAACGGAGCGCATGGGCGACTGGGAGCAGCCCCACAGCAGTCCCCAGCACTTGCAAAACATGGAGGACAGAGCATGTGATTCACAGGATGCCTCCATATCTTGGATTTCAGCCTGAACACGCGTATCTTAAATTCATCTCGAAAACCACAGAGCCGCATATGCTCTGCTCCCTGTTTCAATCGTTCATGAACACGTGTTGCTTTAATTGCCTGTTCTCTCTTTCTCTCGTTCTTTCTGTTTTGGTCTCTTCATGCACCCTTCCTTCTTTTGCAACGTTCTTTTCTCTTCTCGCAGTATTCCGTCTTTATGTGCTGCTGCGATTGACTATCCAAGTATGTTTCTTCGTGATGCGTTCTTTCTTTCTTTCTGTCTTGCTTATCTGTTCTTTTATTTCGTTCTTGCTACGTGTTGACTTTGTTATTTCTTTCTGTCATTGATTCGTTGATTCTTTCTGCTTCTGCTTCTTTGACTCTTCCCTTTTTTGCTCTTCCTCCACAGATAAATGCAAAAGCAAACAACAGAACAACTGCAAAACAACATCGCTACCCAAATAGCTGGGTATCCAATCCTCCCCAAACATGTCACGGAATGCAGTCCCTGCAATTCCACTCAGCGTCAAGCGCGAAAAGTCTGGTGAATCAAAGCATCACTTGTCAACCTTGTGTTTTAAGCGGCAAAGTTCTGCCCTGTGTCCGAAAGGCAAGACCCACAATTTCCTACCGGCCTTTGTGGAAACCGATTTTGTGATTCCGACGAGGTTCCTCAAGCGTTTCAGCATCAGCGCTTCACCTCTACAGTCTTTCTTGTTGAGCTGATCTCGCTGGAACTCCTGAGCAGTGGCACATGTGGGTCGAGATTCTCCATGCTCATGTCATCATTGGATTCCCATCCAGAATTTCGATGAATTTCGATGACGTCTCTAGGTGGTATGCAGATGACGGTTCTGACTACCGCCATGTGGACTTTCAAGCAGTTGGCGTGCATCAATGCAAGATCCAGCAGCAGCCTCTGAATTCAAAACGCCTGGCAATACTCAGTTCGTGAATCTGGCTCAGACACTTGAAGCAAATTCAATCAGAGCCGGTGTCCCTGGCACCCTTCATTAAAACATGCTGCACTACGCAGCCCAAGACAAACTTTCGCAACGCTGACCGCAGACACAGCAACCAAAAACTGAACTTCACAACAAGGTGCGGTAAGAGAGTCAATGTCTGCTGCAAGCCTTTGGCGGCATCTGCGTCTGTGAGATGCATAGAGGATCCCAACCGCAACACAAGTGTGCTGGATAAACGGGCTAAAGCACGCAGGATTCGTAGAGCTCATGTAAAGCTCCAACTCACAACGAAGGACAGGTACAATCAAATGAGAACTTGGACTCTGCCACCATTCTTCTAGATCCAGTTCACGATCAGATCGCTGCTTGATCTCGGTGGTCACCTGTTTTCTGGTCTGTCCTCTGGCTGTTCTTCAGCGCCTTTCTCAATTTCCCGGATCAATAGCAATCGTCTGGCTCGGTCTTGGCCTTGCCCCCGTGCCTCTAAAAATGAGTATGCTCAAACTGCCACAAAAAGCGTTCCCTGGAGCTGGAAATTTCGTTCATCTCTGAGATCAACTGCTCCTGCATCTCTTGCAGCAGCGCAAACGTGGCTTTAAGTTCCAAAGTTGGGAGGTCTGCGGCAGCAGACAGTGGCAGTACTTACGAATCTTTGCAGCAGGTCCGGCTTCCAACACTTACAAGATACCTGCATTCAGGAAGCTGAAGGCTTTACAATGAAGAAGGAAGCGCTTCTGCTTCTTTCTGCCGCAACTCACAGTGGCTGGCAATTCTGGCTCGTTCGAGAGGATTGGGGGCCCATGTGGCTACCTGTATCTTCGTGACTGCATTATGATTGAAATGGGTTGTGCAGCATAGTCCTCCAACTTGCACAGTCGTCGATCTCTTGGCTACAACTTTCCAATATGCAACACAAATCACACTGGCTCGATTCTTGGCGCTGAGGATCAAGTGTTGGCCTAATCTAGATTTTGCGCATTTTGATGTTCAGAACACCTTTCTGTGCTGGCAAAACTCATGGATGTCTTGGACGTCATTGCTGTGTAGACCAGTGCTCCCAGATAAATAGGCCAGCCTTACACTTCTAAAGGGAATCTGTGGATCGATAGCGATTAAAATATTGCTCATGCAACGCAGCAGCATCATCCTCGGTGGTACCAAGCAGCTGCCGCAGGCCCGAGGCAACCCCAGCAGAAGTTCCCAGGCGCATGAGACGGGGAGGGAAGTCTGCGCATTGCCCCTTCATTCACACCTAAACGAAGTAACGCAGAGGCCGCAAGAACTAGTCAGGAAATGCGCAGGTAAACGTGTATCATTCAGACAATGCCAGGCCACTGCTGCAGCGCTGCGCCCACTGCGTCCGTGTCCCGCCGCGGAAGCGCAGCGTGAAGGGACCTGCACAAATGCAGAGATCAAAAAAAGAATGAGATGCTAGTTGCGACGGTTAACACTGTGCAGCGATCCATACGAGGGCTAGCACCGAATAACGAACGAGCAGTCGCGAGGAGGAACCAAAGAAAAGAAGTAGTCTCTCAACGAGTGCTCGCAAAGAAGGACAACTTCATCTTCCGTTTGGATTCTATCTCCGTAAACTGCCACTGAGATTGATGCCCGTCGAGGGACTGGCAAGAGTTTACAGGTTTTGCGGCGTTGGATTCTCTGGCTTGACCTCTCTGTGTTGCTGCAACCCTCTCTAGACGCTAGCCGCTAGCCGCTCTCATGGAACATTGCCTGGCTGTAAACAGCAGCGCATCGCTTTGGGGTGAAATCATTCTCACCTCACCACTAAGCAACTAAACTGGCGGCAAATCAGCAGCACGCTGCAACATGTTGGGCACCAGGAGGGCATTCTATCCCAAGCCTTTAACTAGTTTGGCAGGAATTCCTAGTGCGGCATGCAGTCGACTCTTGTCATGAACAGGACCTGTTTGCCCCTGTCACTCAGCGTCCGCACAGCGGTGGCCGAAACTCCCATAATCAATCAGCGTTTTCAACTGAAAATGACCCCCTGCACCCTTCAAGTGCAAGCTGTGCAAAAACCGGGCATTCGGATTCTTAGGATTGTCTGGGACTGGGAGTGGAGGTGGATGAGGCAGAAGTGTGGTCTGTAGGGATGAGCATTCCCAGCCCCCAACATCCCAGACATGAGCAATCCCCAAGTGCAGAGCACTCACAGAACTTAGCCATCAAACTCAAGTGCTACACGTGCAAGAATGAATGCAATCCACCAAGGCTGTCCAAAGCACTAGACCGAATCAGGCAGTCAAATGCACCTAATCGAATGCT